CTGCTCGCTCTGTGCCACACACCGCTCTAGGCATGGGTCTGATTGGGAACAGGACACAGACGTCCGCACCAGAGGTTTTAAGGAAAGATGAAGCCCAGGAGGCGATGGGGAGAGACAAGGACATCATTTTAGAAACAGGGTATGGCAAGGGCCCCTCTGAGTGGTGACAGGTGAGCAGGAGGGCCCTGAACAAAGTGGGGGCCACAAGCACATCTAGGGAGGAACGTTCCAAGCAGAATGAGAACGAGTGAAGGAGGGAGGGAGGTCACTTGCTGCCCACTCAGCACGGATCTCCCCACTTCCCACGGTAACTATTGGGTGAGTCACTCATCGGCCAGGTGAGCCTGACACCAGGGAAGGAACATGCAAGCGACACCTGAGCCGGTCCCCGCGTCCCACATCCCCGGCCACAGCGACTGTTCGGGGATGAGCACGGGACCAAACCCGCCCGAGATACAGCGAGGCTTGTGCTGGCACCTGGGAAGAGGCCCTCCGTCTGTCCAGCCGCGTCAGGAACCTGAGGGCATGTCGCAGCCAGAAGGGCTATCATGTGTCGCCTGAGAAGGAAGCCAACCCAGAAGAGGGCAAATCCAAGAAATGGAGAGAAATTGAGTCCAAGCAACCTCCCGTGAGCCCTGAAGTCAACTTTCTAGTATCGCAACCAATGCAATCCTTCTTCCCCAAGTCCATTTGGCTTGGCTTTTAAAAAAAATTTTTTTTTTAAGATTTTTATTTATTTGTCAGAGAAAGAGAAGGAGCACAAGCAAGAGGAGTGGCTGGTGGAGGGAGAAGCAGGCTGCCCGCTAAGCAGGGAGCCCGATGCGGGGCTCGATCCCAGGACTCTCAGATCATGACCTGAGCCGAAGGCAGACGCTTCACAGACTGAGCCACCCAGGCGTCCCTGGCTGGCCGTTCCATCATCTGGAACAGAAGACAGTTCTGACCAAAACAGACTCCACTCAGATAAAGCCAGAGCTACTCACAGATTTCCACCCCCACTCATTCCCCTTCTTCCGCGTCAGAAAGCGAACACCACGGGTCAACCAGGCACCAGACGCGCTCCTAGTGAGGCTGTTTTCCGCCAGGCGATGAGTTTCATCTGCACCTTGAACCTCTCTCGGGCTCCTTCCCCAACGTTATAGAGACAAGCAGCAGGCGGCAGCAGTGCCCCTGGCGCAGGGTCTGGTTCTGTGTGCAGGGCCCACTATGGGGCTGAGCACAGAGACCCCACGCCTGCTGGGACCTCCCCACCAGCGCCCTGCAAGGGGTCCATGTTTCTCAGCCGAGCCTGCAAACCGCTCTTCAGAAGATGAAAAGGTGACAACCCACCTTGATCTGATCAACAGTTGCAGTGACACAGAAATGCCACTTCCTCGGCTTCCCATATCTGAACCCCTCAGCAGTCTCTGCGGCCCCAGTGCACAGTGCGGGCTGCTGCATCCACTACTGAACGTGCGTCCACTCTCGGACTGCGGAGTGTACGACCGCCCCCCCCACACGGACATTCGACACTGGCGGCGAATCAGAAAGGGGCCACCATATCTCCCCCAGCCCCACCTACCGACGCGGGCGGCGATGAGCTCTAGCTCACTTAACAAGAACGTGGAAGACCGGACTCCAACCAGCGGCCCCCTCCGTCCCCTCTGTCTCCGAATCCAGCGGGTACTCCTACAACTTCACGCAAGAGTTTGGGAAATCAGAACAGGAAATGAGAAACCCCCGTCGCCACCAAAACAAGATGGAGAGTTTTCTAGAGCCAAGTACAGCGGTGGCAAGGCTGCTGTCTCCAGGTCTGAGGGCGACATCAGGCACCCCTGGTGTGGGTTCAGCAGCTCCTCGCCGCTGCTGCTCCTCTCCAGCAGGGCTGGCACGAGCGGCCCCCGGGCATGCTGGGCTCAGGAAGCCGGGGAAGACAGAACTGCACACGGCACCACGGCGGTCCGAGACAAATGTGACCGCAGTCGCATAGAGTTCTGCACTTTCTAGGAGCCGCGATAAAGAAATTTAAGGGGCGCCTGTGTGGCTCAGCCAGTGAAGCATCTGCCTTCAGCATGATCTCAGGGTCCTGGGATGGAGCCGTGTTGGGCTCCCTGCTCTGCGGGAGGCCTGCTTCTCTCTCTACCCTTTGCCCCTGCTCATGCTCTATCCAATAAATAAAATCTTTAAAAAATTTTTTTCTTAAAGACACAAGTAAATTGATTTCAATAACAACATATTTTAACCCAACACATGGCAGATACTATTTCGCCATGTATCAGAAACGACTCCAGAGATAGTCTGAATTTTTCTGTACTCAGGCTTCAAAATCCCACGAGCACCGCACACACGGCTCTCATGCCCGCAGTCCAGGCACCCCGAACCACCCGCGGCTCGCGGCTGCCATCCCGGACACGCTGACCTAGACCACCGAGAAGCCACTTAAGAGGTGAACTTCTCTAAGGGTTCTTCGTTGCCACGCGTTAACTCTCCTGCTAGCCCCGTGCGACCCGGGCTTCACGGAGTACCAGGCACGGCCCGGAGGCCAGTGGGTGCGGCACGCGCCTCCGCCGCAAACGCACAGACCTGACGTAAAGCTGTTGCTGGGAAGCACCGCGGCCGCCACACATCTCCTGGGCTCCAAGGTGACCAGCAGCCGCCCGTAGAGCCCCGTCCGCTGGCTGGACACCTGCAGCTTCAGCAAACACACGCCTCGGCTCTGGAGTTCTTTCGGGGAGATGTTTTCCTGCCAAGACCTGGAAGACACCCAACACTGAGGATTCAATATTTACATTCCTCCAGCTTTTACTTCCACCCACCCGGGATGAATGTAAAAGGGAGAGGAAAACAGACAAAGATCTGTGCCCAGGCTCGAAATAAAACCCAAACGGGCTCCGTATCTGCCCCTGGCGTCCTGCCCCTCCCCATCTCGTCCTGCTGGTCCAGCTGGTCTCTTCACCTGCTCTACCCGCACTCTGTGCCCCGGTTCCCCTGTGTCACTAAGCCCATCTGTGCCCCCCCCCCCCACCGCCTGCCATCTGTACCTGCACGCATCCACTCTGCCTCTCATCCTCACCACCACACCCCTGCTGCAAGCCACACCCCTCATCGTCTGGACCAGACAGAGCCTCCTGCCTCCAAACTGGCTGACCTCGGGGGCTTGCCCCAACCAGTCACAAGCAGCAGCGCCCACGCAATCTACCTGAAATACAAATCTATCTGCTCCCCTTTGGGAGTTAACAGAGGGAAACCTCACCAAAGTGGAGGGGGGAGAGCAGAAGGAGTAGCACCGTCCCATCAGTTACAGACCCTGACAGGACAGAACCCTCCATCAGGCAACAGGGAGAGATGCACATCGCACCCCCTACAAGAAACCCGCCACCCTGCAACTCAGTCAGTGAGCAACAGTCACCCACGTGAACTCCTGCCTTTCCCTAAGGGGCTTCCGTTCAAAGAGACCCCTCCCACGCCCTCCTTCTCGGTGCAATGAAGGTCCTCTCCGTCCCCGGCTACGCCAGCCCCCAGCGTGGGCCACAGCTCCCTCCCCGGAACTGCAATTCTCTGCTGTGACGGATAAACCCACCTTGCTGGTAAAACAAACGGCTGTTTTATTTTTAAGGTCAATGCCCCCTCCCCCCCGAGAGCCATCCGCTGGGCACGGAATACGACACGCTCGCCCACAAGGCCCTGCTCAACCTGAACGCGGCCGACCTCTCCGCCGGCGCTCACTGCTCTGGGTACCCAGCGGAGTGCCAGACCGCGGCCCGTCCTGCGCTCACAGCAAGCCTGCGAGGTGGGAACAGTCCCACTTCGCAGGCGAGGTGGCTGCGGCTCAGGGATGTACCCTGCGAGGTCCCACAGCCATACGTGGAGCTGCGGTTCTACGTAGGTCGTTACCACCGCAAAAGCTCGGAACCTTCGGACCCAAAGCCTCTCGCACAAACGCCTGCACGTCTGCAGCGCAGCGACTCGCTGCCAGGCCCAGAATCAGACTGTCTCCCCTCCAACCCCGACTCCACCTGCCACCCCGGGCAAGGCACCGAAGCGCCCGCTGTCACAGCTCCTCGGCACAAAATCACAACAACACTGAGGGTTCCCGGAGCGTGCGCGGCACTCGGTAAGCGCTCGCCGCACTATTTCAGCTAAATGAGTATTCACCTTCAGAAGCAAGTCGAGCTCTCTCCGGAGCCCAGGTCCCCGCACCTCCTCCAGGAAGCCTCCCCCTCCACCCACCGCACCCATTTTTCTGTGAGCCTGGCACCACCTGTCCCTGAAGCCAGCCTTAGCCTCACCCTGCCTGGGGGCTGGTCTTTCCCCGCGCCTGCGCGCTCGCGCTGCCCTGTCCGCGCGACACTCACGGCGGGAGCACGCCGGCTTGGAAGGCACCGTTCACAAGGACCCGAGCCCACCCCCTGGCCCAGGTCCCCCGACCAGGCCCAGATCCCGGCCCACCCCTCTGCCCACGGCCAGACCCACCCCTGCCCAGGACCCTTGCCAGGCCCAACCCTCTGGCCAGGTCTCCTGGCCAGGCCCAAGCCCTCCCCCACCCCCGCCCCGCCCCGCCCAGGCCCAGGCGACTGCATCCTCGCGCCCTCCCACCGGCCCGCACCGGAGGAGGAAAAAGGGTTGAGGACGCGCTGAGGGCAGCTAAGACCTAGGACGGAAAAGTCGGGAGTGGGGGGCTCCAGGCCGAAAAGAAAAGGCTTCTCAAGGGCCCCGAAACGGGACGGGCCGCCCGGGAGGCGACAGTCCCAGCTCCAGCGGCGGCCGAACCCACCAGCGCCGCGGGCAGGACTCAGGGCGGGAGGGAAAGTCTCTGCCCGAGGCCGGCCGCGCTGGGGAACTGCCGACCGACCCCGTACCTGCGCTCCTCGACCTCCGCGTCTCTCTCGAGCTCCAGCAGGTCCAACTGCTTGGTCACGAAGCTCTCCACAGCCGCCGAGGCCATGGCCGCCGCCCGGCCGGGGCCCAGGGGAATTGAGGTCCAGCTGCCGCGCGGGGCGGAGTTTCCGGGCCGGACCCTGTGCGTCGACGCACAAGGTTCGAGCCGAGGCCGTTTCCGCTTCCGGCCGAAGTTGCGGGAAGATGGCGGCGGCCGTAACAACGCGGGCACTGAGGGTCTCCTTCAGGCGGCTGGTGTCCGCGTGCAGCGGCAGCGTCCTGAGAGGGTCAGGGCCCGGAGCAGGTGAGACCCTGGCGGCGGGGTGAGAAGAGGGAACGGGGCGTGCGGGTTCGTGTCCTCCCCGATGCCTTCGGTGTTGACCCCTTTCTTTGGTGCGCGAGTATAGTACTCGCTTTGCAGCTGGGGAAACCCGGGTTCGGATCCTGGTTCCTTTAGTTGGCGGCTTCGCTGCTGACGTCAGCTCTCCAGCTCGCTTCAGTGCCTGTGTTGCCGGGGGAGCAGACTGAGGCTCGGTTCGGACAGCTTAGGTGACTTGCCCAGGGTCACACGGCTGGGCGGTGGGACGAGAGTGATTCGTGATTCAGACGAGTCTGTCCGGCTGCGAGCTGTGCGGTACCGTGGCCCCGGCCTCGAGCCGCTCTATGGACCCTCCTGTGGCCTCCTCTGGAAACCGGTGGTGAACGTCCTTGCCGAATCTTAACCCCTTCGTCAAAAGCAGCAGCCTTGTTTTTATGAAGTTCAGAAAAGTTACGTTCGTCAAAAAGTGTATTTTTGCTTGAAATGATTGGCTTGCGTATTTGTGTATAGAAGTGTTTAATTGTGTTTTAAAACCAGGTCCAAATGTATGTTTGATATTAAAGAATTGTTTTGGTTTTTTTTAGATGTGGTAACAGTGCCTCCGTTGTGTGTAGTGTTTAGTAAGGATATTTATTTTTTATAGAAGTATGCTGGCGTCTTTACTGATTTAGCAATATACCTGTGACTTACTTAAAAATAATTGCCAAGTTGGGCCAGAGGAAGTGTGAATCAAAAATATCGGTCGTGAGTTGATAACTGGTGAGTCAGCTGCTGGAGGGCTCTAGGCTGATGATTCTGTTTTCTTTACTTTTGTGTGCTTGACGTTTTCCATTAGTGAAACTTGGGTTTAAGTAGGGAGGGATGTTTTCACAAAAGCAGTGGAAGTTACTATAGCCTGCCAACTTAAAACCACCTCTGGAATGCTGTGCTCGATTCCAGAACCCCACTTTCGGAAACACAAATAACGTGGAGTACAGAGAAGATGACCGAAGTGACAGGCAGATGGGACCTTGAAGAGTGAGAGAGGGAAACAGGATGGAAGACAAACCACAGTCCTTAGAGAGCTAAAGGACGACCCCCCTGGGAGAGAAAGGAGCACAATTGTTCCTTCTGGGGTCCAGGGCTAAGGCAGGACAGTAGCTCAGAGTTACAGGGAAGCAGATCAGGTACAGAAACTTTGCAGCTGAGCCTTCAGCAGTGGGGCGGCCCCCAGGAGAGGCACTGAGTCCCACGTCAGAGCATATTCCGACCGGGGCTTTATGTGCTGACAGAGTGGGCTTTCTTCATTCACCCACCATTTATTGAGCACCTTTTCTGGGTCAAGCAGGGGTGGGGAGGGGTGGAATACAGGAGTAATAAGCATAAATAAGCCCTGCTTTAATGGAACTGGCATTGTGGTGGGGGAGGGGGGGTGGCGAGACAGGCAGTGTCTAAAAATAAGTTACATAGTGTGTTAGAAGCCATTAAGTCTTATATAGAAAAATAAAGGGTGACGTGGGAGAGAGGGGGTCAGTTTTAAATAGGACAGTCAGGGAAGGCCTCTCTACTGAGATGCTGTTTGAATGGACACAAAGAGAAAATGGGGAAGGGGGCCCAGAGGAACAGCAGTCAAGGCACCCAGGCTTCAAGGCAGGCGCGTGCCTGGCACGTTATGGGAATGGCCAGGAAGCTGGAGTGGCGGATGCAGAATGAACAAGAGGTAGGGCATGAGAGATGGGCTGGGGGGTGGGGCGCATCATGCTGCCCACGCCCTGTAGGCCACTGTAAGGGCTTTGGCTTTTTCTCTGAATTAAACAGAAAGCTCTTGGAGAGTTTCAGCAAAATAGTGACAGGATCTGACCTAAGTTTTCATAGGATCACTTTAGCGGATGCAGAGAAAGGAGGTAATGGGGAAAACAGGGCGTTAGTAACAACTCAGGCAAGAGGTGGTGGTGGCCTGGAGGATGTAGGTGGGCAGAGCCTGGATCTCTTGAAGAGAGAGCCAGGAGGATTTGCTGATAGCTCTGAGGGTATGGGAGAGGAAAGGGTCAAGAGTGACTGAGATTTCTGGCCTGCACACTGGAAGGATGAAGATGCCATGGTGTGAGGTGGGGTGAAGAAGCAGGCGTGGGGGGTGGGGAGGATCTGGAGCCTTCATAGATTTTGAGATGCCTGCTAGAGTTGCGAGTGGTGATAGCAAATACACAAGTGGATCGTCATATCCAGGCTGCGGGTGTAAACCTGGGAGTCGCCAGTGTAGATGGGATATTTAAAGTCATTCCTCTGGGTGCAGACAGCAGAGGAATGGTCATAGAAAAAGAAGAGATAAAGCCGAAGGTCTAAACCCCAGGCACGGCGAGGTAATAGAGGAGAAACCAGCCCAAGACACCAATAATTGGGAACATTTGCTAACAGGTAATTATAGAAAGGTGAATTTCAGGAAATGTAAATCACAGCTCAATATAAAAAAAAAAATGCATCAGTAGATGCAAGAAATAGTTGACAAAAGTCAACATGCGTTCATAACAAAAACTCAGATAGATACAGATGAAATTTTTTTTTTTAAGATTTTATTTATTTGACAGAGAGAGATCACAAGTAGGCAGAGAGGCAGGCAGAGAGAGAGGAGGAAGCAGGCTCCCTGCCTAGCAGAGAGCCTGATGCGGGACTCGATCCCAGGACCCTGAGATCATGACCTGAGCTGAAGGCAGAGGCTTAACCCACTGAGCCACCCAGGCAGCCCAAAACTTTTATTTTTTTTAATTTAAGTTGGCTCCATGCCCAACATGGGGCTCGAAACAACGCTGAGATCAAGGGCCACATGCTCTATCATGTGAGCCAGCCAGGAGCCTCCACGAAGGAAATTTCAGGAACAGGACATCTTCCGACGAATGAATAAATAAACCATCGACAGTTCCTGAGTTGCCGTCCTCTGCTTCTCACTCCTAAGCTCTGCATTCTGGACCCTTCACTGGGTAGACCGTGATTGCCTTTGTCCCTTGGCGTATTAGTCGTCCGTCGCTGCAGAACAGGAGTTACCCCAAAACTTAGCAGCTTGAGATGACCAGCGTTTGTCGTGTGCACCATTTCCAATGGTTAGGAGTCCGGGGGCTGCTTAGCTGGATGGTTCTGGAACTCTCGTCAGCTGGGGCTGGACTTTCTGTTTCCAAGCTCATACTTTGGCCATGGGCAGGAGGCCTCCGTTCCAGTCTTAGAATTTAATCTCAGAAATGCCGTGCCCTTGGTGCACCTGGGTGGCTCAGTCAGTTAAGCACCTGCCTTCAGCTCAGGTCATGATCTCAGGGTCCTGGGATCGAGCCCCGCATCGGGCTCCTGGTCCATGGAGAGCCTGCTTCTTCCTCTCCCTCTCCCCCTGCCTGCTGCTCTGCCTATTTGTGCCCTCTCTCTATATCTCTGTCAAATAAATAAATAAAATCTTTAAAAAAAAAAAAAAAGTGCCCTGCCTTTCCTTCTGCCACATGCCATTGGCCACAGAAACCAGCTCCGTTCAGGAGTTGGGCTCCGCAGGCTGTCTCGGGGGGAACAGAGCTGGATCTGAACCTACCAGGCATGTGGCGGTCAAGGAACAGATCAGTGGGTGAGCGGTTCTGGTTTTCGGCGCTTTCCCGTGGTGTGATGAACACATCCCGGCACGCGCGAGCCCTAACTGGGCGCTGCTGTTCCAGCACTGCTGACCCTGGTCTTCCCGCAGGAACGTCGGGAGCCGCCGCACTGACACAGGCGCCCACAGAAGCAGTACTTGTGTTTTGCCTTTTGAAGAGCAGTGGCATTTCTTACCGGTGACGATCGCTGTTTCTTGTTCCTTCAGCTTCCCTGGGGTCTGCTTCCCGAAGGTTCGGTTCGCAGAGCACCGCAGTTCCAGAAGGGTAATACCGAGATGTGGGTTTGGGTGACTTTTCCTTTGTAGGACTGTCTTTCTCAAATCAAAATAGCAGATGCGTGGGTTTTCGAGAACATCTAAATTTTCTCTTAACTTTTTAATGGTATTTTTTTTTTAAAACCCTTGACATAAACGCGGACAGGACATTGAGTGTCCAGACAAATGTGCTGCTAGGCCTTATGCAGCTGATTTTGTTAAGGAAAGCTCATGGCTCCTAATTAGAGACTTCTGAGAAGATGGAATCACAGGAAGGTTGAATCAGAATTTTTAGGGAGAACTTAAATATCATTTGGAAGAAAAATCACACCCACTAGTAGGAATATCCAGGAGCAGTGGAGGATAGCAGTTAAGAATTAGGAAGCTCCTGGGCCCGCTCCTGGCCCCGCCCCTTGCCGGCCAGGGTCCTTGAGCTTTGTTTCCTGTCCCGCCAGATGGAGATGTTGTTAGTCTCTCTCCGGGGGGTTCTGTGCGCCTGCACTAGATTCCTCCATTTGAAGAGCTTAGGACAGCGCCTGGCAGTGACTTGTCGGGAGTGTTGGCATCGCAGGCCCAGAAGTGGGGAGATTCAGGGGGCTCACGTTTCTCAAAAAACAGAATCAGGTTATAGAGAGAGATCCTGAGGGGGAATGTCCGTTACTTTGCCCTTTCTTTCTCTTCCCCATGGAGTTCGGGTTTCCAGCTTCCGTTGTTTCGCCGTCTGTAGCAGGGGATGGCCAGACCCTGCGAGGAGGCCGGGGCTCCCCCGTCAGACCCTGTTCCTCCTTGTCCATCAGAGGTCCCCAGGCCACAGCTCAGGAGCGTGTTTCCAGGTGCTCTGAGCTGAGCGCAGTGGACGAGCTCCGTTCCGTTTCCTTGGCCGGTTGACGCCACGGCGCCCAGAGCTCCGCTGTGGTGAGCGCCTGCTGGCTCCCCGCACAGCACAGGGGCCCGGGGCCGGCTGCGGAAGCGGCCCTTCCCCGGCGAGCCGCCTTTGCTCCTTACAGGAGTTCTGCTGCAGAAAGACTGACCTCTCCCTCTGGCGGCAAACAGCAACAAAAGCTTTAAAATGGTTCTGAGTAACTGAATTCGATGTGGGTTCTCCCGAGCTCTCCCCTCTTTGTAGTCTTCAGAAATTCAAGGCCAAATGAGGGCAGGAAGTGAGACAGACCTTGCCTCCTCCTTTCGCCCGTGGGCTGCCCTCCATGCGCAGCTGAGTCCTCTGCTGCAGGACAGACAGACGAGTGACGGCCGTGCCATGGCCCCTGAACACGTCCCCATGCCAGCCAGTCCGCGCGGCCCTGGGGGCAGGTGCTTTTATGCCCATTTGCTCCGTGAAAGAAACTGGAGCGCAGAGTCGTGACGTGCTTGCCAAGGTCACGTTCACCTGGTGGCCGAGGCGGGGTTCAGTCCCGGGGCTCCTGTCTGGGCATGAAGGCCGAGCAGGCACCTGCCTGGTAGGAGTTAGGGGTCAGGGCGGACCAGCTGGGGGCAGAGCAGGGGTGTTCCTGTCGTGGGAGCCCTGCCCACGGAGCCCTGGAATGTCAGGGTGACGCGCAGGAGCCATGCTGGGAGGCAGAGAACCCATTGCCTGGCGGGGCGGGGAGTGTCGCATGGCCCGGGGGTAGTTATTCCTAGGAGGGACTCTTCTGGAACAAAATGGCTGGATTTCCCGTTTTGATTACTGAGGGATAAGTGGGTGTTTCTTGAAACACGGGGTCATGTGGGAGCTGTCCCCAGTGCCACCAGGGGGCGGGTCTGTACCAAAGAGTCCCATGTCGGACAGCGACGGCCCTCCGGCCTGAGCACAGCCATTTCTTACAGATTCTGAACTGTCTTTTCCCGCGGACGGGCCACACTTGCGTCACATGTGTTTTACAGATACGTTCCTGCAACATCGCTGAGTTCACCACCTTGGCCAGAAGTTGTCCTGCCAGACCCCGCTGTGGAGACCAGACGCCATGCAGGTAACACAGGTGGACGCCGGAGGGAGGGGTGGGGAGGAGGGCCTGTCCCCGGCCACAGAACAGGATCTCGCGTCTTCACATGCCCTGAGACCCAGCGTGGTGTGAACGCTTAGGCTCGTTTTTGCCACTGGACACATTTCGCAGATACTCCTGAGCACCCACCGAGGTCGAGGTGGGCAGTGCGAGCGAGGGAGCGGCCCTTGGTCCCTCTCCATCTCCCCGCTGTTGGCAGGATGCGGGGGAGGAAAGATTTCTCCACAGCCGGGGGAGCAGTGGGTGCTGGTGCTGCCCCAGGGGTTGGAGAAACTGTCCGGGTGCTGGGACACGAGGAGGGACAAGGTGGCCAGCCACCACTGCCGTGAGCGAGCACAGGGCTCCGTTTTCCTCACAAGGCTGGAGATGCAGGTCCACGTGGGGCGTCTTCCAGTTTTAGTTTGTTCTGTTTTTAAGAGATTTTACTTATTTATTTGATAAAGACAGCGAGAGAGGGGACACAAGCAGGGGGAGTGCAAGAGGGAGAAGCAGGCTTCCCACTGAGCGGGGAGCCTGATGCGGGGCTCGATCCCAGGACCTCGGGATCATGACCAGAGCCAAAGGCAGCCACTTAATGACTGAGCCCCCCAGGCGCCCCCATCTTCCAGGTTTAAAGTACCATTTGAGATGCGGTGCGAGATCAGCGGTGTTCTGCCCCTTCTCCGGCCACGGCTCTGGCCTGACTCTGCTTCAAGAACGAAAAGTGTGTGTTCCTCTCCAAGCGCCCAGCCCCAGGCCAGGCGGGGTGGGTCAGGGCTCATAGACGCTTACCAGACGGTGACCGGGGTGGGAGAGAGCGGGTTATGAGCCGAGGTGAGGCCGTGAGAGCCCAGAGCTGTGCGGGCAGCAGCTTGAAGGTAGAATCTAGCACGGGGGGCGGGGGTCATTCTAGCTTCTCCTGGTTTGCAGAAAGGCCTCTCCTTTCACTTGGCCAGTCCTCTGGCATTTTCTTAATAAAGACCGGGAATCCCGCAGGGTGAAGGTCTCCCCCAACCCCGCCCAGTCAGAGAGACCAAGCCAGGCACGCGGAGTGCTCAGGCCGGAGAACACGGGGCCGTGGGGCATTCCATGAGGTCTGGGGGACATGTGTCTTTAGGTGCCCCCCGTGCCAAGGAGCCCGTGCTCCTGGGAAGGGCAGGTTGAGCCCCAGCTGTGCAGAGAGGCACAGTGACAGCTGTCTCACCCACCCCCGCTGCCACTGGAGCTTGCCGTCCTACTGAGGGAGAGCAGAGGGCACAAGGCCTCATATGACCATCGCTGTGGGCCTGGGCTGCGTGGGGCCGCGTGGCTGCCATGCCCGGTGTGAGTGGCCGGCCGGCCCGCCACCATCTGGCTTTCTTCCCCACAGAGGTCGTGGGGAAGGTGAACGAGCTGATTGCCACGGGCCAGTATGGCCGGCTCTTTGCTGTGGTCCACTTCGCAAGCCAGCAGTGGAAAGTGACTTCTGAGGACCTGATTTTAATCAACAACAAATTAGACATCGCGTGTGGTGAGAGAATACGGCTGGAGAAGGTGAGACCATCCGCGTCTCGGCACAGTCACCAAATGTGCCCTCCTGCCCCTGGGCTCGTCCCCAGGAGGCTTTCTCGGGTCGGCGGGCGAAGGCGAGCAGAGCCGAGGGCAGGAGCACAGGTATCCCCCCCCCCCAGGCTGACCCCAACGCAGGAGACTTCCGTGCCGGAAAATACGTGTGCTGAGGTCCCACGTCTCGGGAACATTCTCCCGGAGAAGAGAATGAGCACCCCAGGTGCAGGCAGAGGGTTTTCAGGCGCACGGCCATGGAGAGCGCCTCGGCGGAGCGCTGCGCCGGTCGGATGGACGGCGGCTGCTCCCGAGGCGTCTGGCTGGCACTGCTGGGCCTCACCGGCCATTCCACGCCCTTGGTCTGCGAATCTAGCGTTTCCACCCACCACTTAAAATGCTTCCTGCTGTTTTGGGCGGCCTTTTTTTTTTTTTCCTCTTACTCTGTTTATAAAAGCGTATAAAGTCCAAGTTCTCGGGTGCCTGGGACGCGCAGTCAGTGAAGGGTCCGACTCTTGGTTTTGGCTCAGGTCACGGTCTCAGGGTCGCGGGATCGAGCCCCGCCTTGGGCTCCCCACTTGGCACAGGGTCTGCTTGGGACTTCTCCATCTGTGCACTCGCTCGAGCTCACTCTGACTCTCAAATAAAGCTTAAAATATATATTTACCCAAGTGTTCTGCACTAGCTTTCTATACCTTTCTTCTTTTGTGACTGCAGACTCTTTGAGTCTGTACACCAAGGGGAGCATTAAATGCCGTTTTGTTTTGTTTAAAGGTTTTATTTCTTTGTCAGAGTGCGCACGAGCAGGCAGAGCCGCAGGCAGAGAGAGAGAGAGAAGCAGGCTTCCCGCTGAGCAGGGAGGCCGATACGGGGCTCGATCCCAGGACCCTGAGACCATGACCTGAGCTGAAGGCAGCAGCTTAACTGGCTGAGCCACCCAGGCGCCCCTAAACTCTGTTTCTAAGATGGTGTCCTCCCAGCCTGCAGTCTGAGCTGCGAGCTGCGCTGACTGACCACATGGACTGCAAGAGCCACCAGAGCTCCCTTCTCCCAATGCCACAGGGGCTCTGTCGTGAGCTCCTCAGCAAGGGCTCGTTTACTGCATAACGTCTGAAGTAGGAGGGGGGCGCCTGGGGGGCTCAGTCGTTAGCGTCTGCCTTCAGCTCAGGTCATGGTCCCAGAGTCCTAGGATCGAGCCCCGCATCAGGCTCCCTGCTCGGCAGGAAGCGTGCTTCTCCCTCTCCCACTCCCCCTCTTCGTGTTCCCTCTCTCACTGTGTCTCTGTCTGTCAAATAAATAAAATCTTTAAAAATAAAATAAGTAGGACACTCGAGTGTATCTGAGAAGATTTACTAAAAGGACATTTTTTTTTAAGTTTGCTTTTTTTAGTAATCCCTACACCCCACGTGGGGCTTGAACTCACAGCCCCAAGATCAGGAGTCACGCATTCCACCAATTGAGCCGGCAGACGCCCCCCAAAAAGATAATGTTTTGAAACCTGTCGCATGAACAAAAACATTCTCGAAAGGACCACGTGATCCCGATTGCTTGTCCTCACTTAGGAGGTTGAGTGGCAGAGAACGCGTCAGCCTGAAAGTCACTGTGAGACGGTGTCTCGGTAATTTGTCGTCAGAGACCGCTGATGTCGCTATAAAGTACGCTTTGTCTGTCGATGTTTAGGTTTTATACGATCCGGTTTTTTTCTTTTTTTTTTTCTTTTTTTCTTTTTTTTTTTTTTTTTTTTTTTTTTTGTTGAAGATTTTATTTACTTGAGAGCAAGGGAGCATGAGGGAGAGAGGGTCAGAGGGAGAAGCAGGGTCCCCACTGAGCAGGGAGCCCAGTGCGGGGCTCGATCCCAGGACCCCGGATCATGACCATTAGCTGAAGGCAGACACTTAACTGACTGAGCCCCCCGGGCGCCCTGATCAGGTATTTTTCTTATCCGTAAAATTTAAGACGGCCTTCCAACACCTGCTAAAACACCGCTGCCCTCGCAGTGCAAAGATGTCTTCATCTGAGGCCACTCTTGGCCACGTCTGGCTGCGCCGAGGACGGTCTCTGGAACGTCCATGTGGACTTTCCCAGTCTTTAAAAGAACACACGTGAGCCTCCGTCTCGGCGGGGTCAGCAGTCGTGAACCGCCTCAGAGACGCCACGGTGTGGCTTTCCCGCATACATTGTACCTTCCAATAAAAAGTTAAAAAAAAAAAAAAAAAGGCCATCGTTGTTTGCACGGGACAGTTGACACTGTCCTCTGGGCGGGCGATCGGCGTGTCAAGTGCCCAGGGACAGCGGTCCTGGCTCTGCCATTGGGCCGGCACAGGAAGGTAGACCCAGCACTGGGGCCAGGGCTGGCTGCCTCCCCACCAGTTCGAATCCCGGGAAACGAGGAGGTGGCGGGTACCTTCTTCCCGCTCCGGTGTTTGCGCCCCTGACCTTCCCGGCACGTGGTGACGCGCCCGTTTCTTCCGCAGGTCCTGCTGGTCGGAGCTGACAACTTCACGTTGCTCGGCAAGCCGCTCCTCGGGTAACGCGCGCGCTTACGCGGGGCTTTGTCTGGGGCTCGCGCGGGCTGCGGGGGGAGGCCAGACAGGGGACGCCCGGGCCCAACTAGTGCTGCTGATTTATTACTGTGGGGCTTGTAAGATTTGTTGACAGACTACCTTGTTCTTCTCTTTTGTTCTTTTTTTTTTTTTCCCCTAAGTAAATACTACCTCCCCCACGTGGGGCTCGAACTCACAATCCCAGAATCAAGTCGTGTGGTCTTTTAACCGAGAGAGCCTAGGGCCCGTGTGCTGTTTTTTGGGGTTTTCTTAAAGGTTCTATTTATTTGTTTGACAGAGGTCACAAGTGGGCAGAGAGGCAGGCAGAGAGAGGGGGGATGCAGGATCGCCGCTGAGCAGAGAGCCCAATGCGGGGCTTGATCCCAGGACCCTGAGATCACGACCTGAGCCGAAGGCAGAGGCTTTAACCCACTGAGCCACCCAGGCGCCCCTGTTTTTTTATTATTATTATTAAATTACGGCTCACAGTATCATGTCTGTTCTCTGTACCTTACCAAGTGCAGACCTCCATTGGCCTAGTTACCCTCTGTCTCCTCCCAAAGTGATTACAATCTGATTGACCGGATTCCCCGAGCCAAGTGACATCCCCGTGACTGATTCATTTCATGACCAGAAGTTCACACCCCTTGATCCCCGTCCCCTCAGCCTTCGCCCCTTCCTTGTACACTGGGCTTGATCATGCTTCTTGGTGGTTTTTTTTTTTTTTTTTAAAGATTTTATTTATTTATTTGACAGAGAGAGATCACAAGTAGGCAGAGAGGCAGGCAGAGAGAGAGGGAGGGAAGCAGGCTCCCCGCTGAGCAGAGAGCCCAATGCGGGACTCGATCCCAGGACCCTGAGGTCATGACCTGAGCCAAAGGCAGCGGCTTAACCCACTGAGCCACCCAGGCACCCTACTTCTTGGTGGTTTTCAAAAAATATCTGCAGGGAGGACGTGCTACTTTTATAATTGGCAAAAAACAAAGTAAAGGTTTGTTTTGGAAATTCTTACATAAAGCATTAGATCGAAAACTAATCGAGAAGGTATGTCATTGATTATCTTTCTCCCTTCTAGAAAGGATCTCGTTCGTGTAGAGGCCACAGTCATTGAAAAGACAGAATCATGGCCAAAAATCAATATGAAATTTAAGAAAAGGAAAAACTACAAGAGGAAAAAAGGTAAGTTAGAGAAAGCGTGGCAGGTGTCATGTCCCCACCCTGCTCCGTCGGATGGTCCTGCGGCTGTTAGGGGTCCGGGGCCACTGGGATGCGCCAGCCACAGACATGGGGGAGAGAGCTCTGCCCCAGTACTCTGGGTCCAGTGTGGAGGGGCAGATGGAGGCCCGTCTTAACCAAGCCAGAGGTGTGGAGGGAGAGGGCCCCGGGAGCTTCAGGCCCTTGCCACAGCCTGACGCAGCTTGCCCGGGAGACGCGGACGCAGACACCAGAGGCAGCAGTCACGTCCCACACAGACTGGACAGAGAAACGGGACGTGGCGGTTGGCAGGGGGTCTTCTCAGCACAACGTCACCCAGAGAACGGGAACGAATCTTGGAGCAACACCCGACCTTGTGCCTCCGGGCACATATGTCCGTCCACACACGCTCGTACCCACACGTGTGTGTGACGGAACATGGGAGAGCGAGGAGAGGGAGCCCTCCAGGGGAGCAGGGGGGCCGGAAGATGGGGCCTGTTGGTTGATAGAGAAGGGAGAGCCAGAGGGGCCTGGGGGGCCGGGGTGGGGAGCGTGGGCTTCGGTGCATGCACGGTGTGGGGACGCCTCGGACGGCAGCTTGGCTGTCTGCAGGGCCGTCCCCGCAGGAGCTTCTGCTGGAAGTCACCTTGTGGAGGCTGCTCAAGGCTGGGCTCGTGGGCTGCAGTGGCTTGTCTGGGGAAACCTGTAGCCCTCACAGTCCTTGGTCACCACGGGAACTGCTGGCCTGAGCTACCAGTAGTGGGGAGTTAGTAAAATACCCTGACACCGTGGGGTGGCCTTTACCACAGGTCAGGTCCACAGGAGCCTCTCCTCTGCCCTCTGTCGCCCCTAGGCAGACCGGGGGTCTCACCGCACTCCGGGGGAAGGAGGGCCGGGCTGCTCCCAGCCTCCGAGGCCCCGGGTCTTAGAGCCTGTGCTGCTTCTGATGGGGGCTCACGGAGCACGGGGGGTCCCTCAGGAGGCCCTCATGGCACGTGGCCAGCAGGGCCCACACGGGGTCTGGGTGCCACCTGGGGAGGGCTGGTGCCAGGCTGACCTGCACTCACTCGCAAAGAGCAGGTGGTCCGGCAGCAGGGTCTCACCACAGCTCGTGAGCACGCCGGGTGCGGCCAAGCCGTGACCCTGCTCTCTCTCTCCCAGTGATCGTGAACCCGCAGACTGTCCTCCGGATAAACACCATCGAGATCACTCCACGTTTGTGCTGACCGTGAAGGCCATGTTTACAGAATATAAAAATAAACGCCTGTTTTCTGGAGACCGTGTTTCTGAGTTCTGATACAAAAAGTTTTGCATTCCTTTGGCGGTTGTTCGAACCTGAGCACCGCGTCTGAGAGCTTCCTTCCGTAAGCAGCGGGCTCCCTGAGCTGGAGGAGCTGGGATTTGGGAAGAGTGACAAGCACGGCCCTCCCAGGGCTGCAGACCGGAGCCTGCTCGGGAGACAAGGTCGTGTTCTGGGCTGCCCTCCACCGCACCGAAGGTGGCAGGGCCCAAGGGCGTGGTGCGGGGGGGGGGGGGGGGGGGGGGGGGGGCGCAGCTGGGACCCGGGAGCTAAGGCCAAGAGAAACACAGTCTGGATTCCGCTTCTGGTGGGGTGCACAAAGCCTGAGCAAAGCCCGCCTCTGAACGGACTGGTTGCTAGTGTTCTGCTCTTTTAAGAAGCTTGGATTCAAACCAGTCTGGGCCCAGAGCCCTTATTCTTGTCCTTTGCTCCTGGTCCAGCAGGGAAGGAGGGTCACAGTGCAGGGGGCTGGTGCACCGACCAGGACGCGGAAGGACGGGCAGTGGGGGGGCAGTGCGGGTGGAGAGCCCGTGCTGCATGACATGTTCTGGGAACTGGGGTGGAGGGACAGTGGCAGAGACAGCCAAGGGGCCGGAGGCCTTGCGGGGTTGGATCCAAAAAAGCCACCTGTCTTGGGAGGCTTTGGGGTGGCCCAGATCTGTGTGGGGCCCGTCAGGCAAGGAGGGACAGCAGGTCCTGAACCCTGAGTGGCTGTGGGAACGGGGGAGCGGGTAGGGAGGAGGGGCTCTTTGAGGGCTGGGCCCTCTGAGCTGTGTCATTCCCAGAGGCAGGGCCTTCCTCCCAGAGGACAGCCGGGGCTTGTGAGCCACACAGAGGACCTTCTGTGGAACCGTAGTGGATGTTTCCTTCTGCAGGAGTCCTCGGAGAGTCCCGTGGGGGTCAGGGGGCCGTCCCTGCCACGTGGACATGATGGCCCCTGGAGACACTCCCCCGTAGTACCCTCCGTGGACGGCAGGGGGCGCAGTCCCACAGGACGAGGAGGCCCAAGGGGGCTGGTGGGGGCTGTGATGCTGGGGTGTGAGGGGTGGCGGGACCCAGCCCCCAGACCAGGAGTGCTCTCCCCCAGGGCTACGCTGCGAACTTCCGAGGATGTCCCTCACGCCGGCAGGAATCCCCTTCCACGTTCTTTGCCTCTGGCACATCCACATGCTGGAAGCATCGAGTAGGTTCCGGAAAGCCTGCTCCGGCCAGCAGTGTAGCTCTGGGGCTGCGGGGTGGTTCTGGCGCCACACAGCTGGGGTGTGAGCCCTAGACCCGTGCACCCTGGGCCTCGACTGCCTTCCCCGTCCAATGGGGGAGATCACAGTACCCGCTTCACTCGACCACCGCGGGGACGCCGGGTGATGGGAAGTGCTGGGTCAGTGTCTGCCGAGCGCGTTACCCAGAACGAGACGCGGCCGCTGCTCTGGGAAACGGGGGATGCGCCTTCCGGGCATCAGTAGGGCTGTTGAGCTCGTGAACATTCACTGCTTTTACAAGCTGGGCTAGGCTTGGGGTGACTGGGGGGCTCAGTTAAGCATCCGACTCTTGATTTCGGTCCAGGTCATGATCTCAGGGTCATGGGTTCGAGCCCTGCGTCTGCTTGTTCCTCACCCTCTGCTCCCCTGACTCTTGTGCACGCCGCCTCTTTCTCCCTCAAATAAATAAGTAAACCTAAAACACACACACACACACACACACACGCACACACACACACAAAATTGGACTAGGCTTATTCACAGCAGCCAAAGTGCGGACAGAACTCCAGGGTCAGCAGGCGGGTAGAGAGACGTAGGTGGCCCCTCACACGGTAGGACGTTGTTCAGCCCAACGATGACGAAGCCCCAGGCGGCCTTGAGTGACCCTGAGTGGAAGAAGCCGGTCACAAAAGGACACGTATTGTGTGATTGCACTTGAATGAAACACCTAGGATTTGCAAATCCGCAGAGAAAGCAGGAGAGAGGCTCCCAGGGCGGCTGCAAGCCCTGGGGAAGAGGGAGTTACTGCTTGATGTTGGAGGTCATGGAAAATCTGCAAGCAGATGGGGGTGAAGGTTACACAACATTGGGAATGTCATGACTTTAAAGTGACTAAATTGTCACTTTAAAATGGTTGAGGAGGGGCGCCTCGGTGGCTCAGTGGGTTAAGCCTCTGCCTTCGGCTCAGGTCATGATCTCAGGGTCCTGGGATCGAGCCCCGCATCGGGCTCTCTGCTCAGCAGGGAGCCTGCTTCCTCCTCTCTCTCTGCCTGCCTCTCTGCCTGTTTGTGATCTCTCTCTGTCAAATAAATACATAATCTTCAAAATGGTTGAGGAGGGGGCACCAGGGTGGCTCAGTCAGCAGAGCAGCAGACTCTTGGTTTCAGCTCAGGTCTTGATGTCGGGGTCCTGGGATCGAGCCCCACGTGTGGGGTCCTCGCTCAGCGCACGGGGTCTGCTTGAGATCCTCTCTCCCTCTGCTTCCTCTCCTCCCTCTTCCCACCTTCTCTCTCTTCCCAAAAAAATGGTTAAGATGGTAAATTCTATGTGATGTAGATTATACCACAGTAAAAAAAGAAGAAGAAGAAGAAAATCGGACTAGGTTAACGACATCCGTTGACTTAAAAAAAAAAAAAAGAAAATGGCCCACGTCTGTATTTTTCCGGAGTATGAACACGAGCCCGTGGGCTCTTCGCGACACAGCAGTGCTGTTCTGGCAGCGGACGGTGCACAGGCGCCCCAGGGTTGGCAGGGCACCCTGGCCCTGCCCCTGCTCTGTCCCCATCCCGCTGCCCCGAGCTCCCTCAGGCCAGCTTTTCTGCGTGCTTTCCCGTGGGAACGCCTTGCAGCTCCAGGAACGGCCTGGGCTTCACCCAGGGACTCGAAGCACCCGCCCGCCTCACCTGTTAGCCCAGCCCCCCTGCAGAGCGGCACTGACCTTGGCCTGCCCCTCTCTGACCGCTGCCCCTCGACCTGGCGCCCCAGTGTGCTCCCCTGGCCTGCAGAGCGCGCTCACCCTCTCCAGGCCACCACGAGACCTCCCGGCCGATCCCAGCATGTCCCAAGAACACAGGGGGGCATCGGGTGTTGTAAGGAGACCGTGGAAGGGGCCAGTGGGAGGCAGAACAGCCCCAAGTTTAGGCACAAGGGCTAGGTCCCCTCCACCACTAACCCACTAACCCACCCCTAGTGGTCCCCTCCACCTCTAACACGCACGCCAGGCTGCTTGGGTGTGAGTCACCAGCTCAGATGGGGCTGCTGGGCCATCCCATCTCAAGGGACACTTCCCCGGGTCACTGTCTGATCCCCGCCTTCTTCCTGGGGCCAGTGCATGTGTATTCATTTGCTCCAGGTTCCCCGCCGGCCTCCCTCCTCTCCTCCCTGGATGGCCAGCCCCAGGACGAGGATGACTCTGCCCGGCTCTCTAGCGAGGCTGATGACCCAGGGTTTCGTGGAGGAGATGGAGCCGTGTCTACCGGAACCACACTCGGACCGAGCTCTAGAAGCATCAGAGATGTAAACTGCGCAGGCACAGGAGGAACTCAGCGATGGAGGGAGGCACATGGCTCCCGGGAGCCCGCAGGAAAGGCTACACGTGGCTGCCACGCTGACCTTTCCTCCTGACATCCCCACACCCCGGGCCTCAGACTCCAGGGGCCAAGGGCCACTTCCGTGAAGGCGGGGCACAGCCCATGGCTCTAGGGGACCGTGCCACACCGGGAAGGCTGGGTGCACTTCGACCCACTTCCTGTGCGGCGACACTGTGGGGACTGAGGACACGTTAACTGGGGACACCTAACGTCCCCTAAAGATGCCCTCTGGGTTTCTTCTCTCTTTGCTCCTATTCCTGCCGCCAGGCAATGCACCGCCCCCTTCTCAGCCCGGCCAAGAGTTCGAGGTCCACGTGAGAATAGAATGGCAAGGTGGGGGCCTTGCCCTGCCCCCCGCGCTTCTAACCAAACTTCAGGACCGGCAGAGTCTATCAGATTGTCTCCGGGAACGATCTCTGGGGACAGAGCACATCGGCAAGGATTATTTTATTTTATTTTATTTTATTTTTAATTAGCATATAATGTATTATTGGTTTCAGAGGTGGAGGTCAGTGATTCATCCGTTGCCTGTAACACCCAGTGCTCATGACATCACGTGACCTCCTTCATGCCCGTCACCCAGTCACCCCCCCCCCCCCCCCCCCCCCAGCAACCCTCAGTTTGTTTCTTTCCTATGATTAAGAGTCTCTTATGGTTTGTCTCCCTCTCTGGTTTCATCTTGTTTTATTTTTTCCACTCTTACCCTATGATCCTCTGTTTTGTTTCTAAAATTCCACATGTCAGTGAGATCATACGATAATTGTCTTTTCGAGGGGGGTTTCTGAATCGTTCAAAGGAAAGGGTCTGTTAGCCGGGGAGGTCGGCCTCCGTGCCCCGAGTGAGCCCAGGAGACTCCTCGGTTTCCTGTCTGTGCTGGGGCGACAGGGGCAGCGCCGGCCTAGCCCCACACCAGTGCCTGTGCTGGGGGAAACGTCCTCATTGTCACGGATGTGGCTGACGGCGGACACACGTGGTGCGCCCCGTGTCTGGTCTTCCAGAAAAGTTCTCCAGGGATGACGCGTGCATGCAGATGGGCACACCTGGTATGTCTGCCCCTTCCGGGGGTCTCCGCTGAAACTGCAAGTCCGGACTTTGTAAAGAAACTGGTATTTCCACTGGTAAGGGATGTTTTCCTTGAGAAAATCTTCTAAGTCTCTGAAGGTGCCAAAGGGAACCTGTTCCCTTGAACAGCCTGAGACTGGACGTGGGAGCCAAGTGTGTCTTCTGATGTCCCCCCTTCTGCGAACAGCCC